CTCTACAGGTTGATAAATGCCACTTAAAGCCTATAGTTTTAAGATTAAACAACGATAAATCGGATGATATTCAATTAGGCCCATGTGGCCGAATATGTGAAAAACGACCAGGTTAAAAATTGGCCAATTTTTGTAAAAACCATGAGCTATTATAGTCCATACTTTTTTTGGACGATTTTTTGGACCCCGCCATTTTCTAGATGTTTCGTATTCCATGACGCCTACAGATCACAAGAGTCCTCCGCAGGTTGATAAATGCCACTTAAAGCCTATAGTTTTAAGATTAAACAACGATAAATCGGATGATACTCAATTAGGCCCATGTGGCCGAATCTGGGAAAAACGACCTGGTTAAAAAATGGCCAATTTTGGTAAAAACCATGAGCTATAGCCCATACATTTTTTTGGACGATTTTTTTGACCCCGCCATTTTCTAGATGTTTCGTATTCCATGACACCTACAGATCACGAGGGTCCTCTGCAGGTTGATAAATGCCACTAAAAGCCTATAGTTTTAAGATTAAACAACGATAAATCGGATGATACTCAATTAGGCCCATGTGGCCGAATCTGGAAAAACGACCAGGTTAAAAATAACTATAACCCATATTTTTTTTGGACGATTTTTTTTACCTCGCCATTTTCTAGATGTTTTGTATTCCACCTTTGTATGTTGTTAAATGCCACTTAAAGCAGTGGCGGATCTAGAGGGTCGTACTCGTCTTGTGTCTGCTTCTCGTGTACTCTGGTAAATACACTTTCTATTCCAAGCTTACTTATTTCCAGATTCCATCAAGTTAGTCTAGCAGTCTCCTTATTCAAAAAAATCTCAAATGGCAGGGGACGGTCCTACCTGTGTGCTTGTGGACAGAAATCGTGGACAATTTGATCGTAGGCGTACATATTTTTATTTGGTTCTTTTTAGATAATAAACAATGTTTTAAATATAATAATAATAAAGTACTATGAAGAAAAATAATAGGTTACGACCTATGCTTCAATTGGCAGATGTTTTAGGCCTAGCCTAAGTACTACCTAACTAGGCCTATATCCAGTCAGGTATCCAGAGGTGACGGAACTAGGGGGTGCTATGTTATGGAGAGTAATGTGTGACCGGAAATGGTCTGCAGTCAGTTGGTTGTTACCATGTGCCAGTGATGTTGGAGTATATGGTACAGCAATTTGAAACTATGAAACTATTGTAGGCCTAATGAATGAATAAAGTTCGGAGTTTGTCGGTAGTGAAATGATTATTTCACATGAAGTGCTCCCTAAAATCATAAGTGTAAGCTAAATTACGGTGATTAATTAATTAATTATTTCGAATCCCTCTTTCCAAGAGGGGATGCAAATGCTTTGTGAAAATGAGTACGCCGCGGTACTCCTTTTCACAAAGAAACACATGGTTAGCTAACAATTATGTCAATGTTACATGAACACCTGGGAAGCTGGGCGTAAATTCCCTTAATATGAATGAAGGGTTGCTCAATCTCCTTGCCATACAAATTACAGCTCCCACTGACGTCTCAGTCGAGAAATACGGGTAGCTGAAGTTTTTCTCGCAAATCTGACTACAAAACCATATCGAAATTTCACGTTCCACTTTTGACCCTGAGTTGTGCTTCGCACTCGCCGCTGAGGGCGGCGTTCCGGGAACCCTGCGTCAAGTTTGTTTTATGTTTTTTTCAAACCACAACACTTCCATACACAACACAATTCTATTCTGTCTGCTGTAGAACCTTATCCAAACTGTAGTAGTATAAATTTTAGGTTTTTGGAGTGCAGATAAAGTTTTATATCCACACCAGCCAGGAAAGTCCCTGGAGTCCGTTCCATCACATTTAAATTAGTTTGGACTACGAAAGTACACAAAATTCCATAAATGTTTTCCTCTTATACAGTTTACTAGTCTTTTCAAGAGTAGGGGGGGGGGGGGGATTGTCTTAGTATGGCTTTAATATTTGTCAAAATAGAAAACTATGAAATAGGGCACAACAAAAGATCCAGATTAGCTTTGGTACAGATGCACAAAACAAACAGATGCCTGGAAAGTCACGTTTGCCTGTTTAC